ATCTTAATTTCATGTGGTGTTTACTCCTTTACTGAGTGTTTAAGCTTAAATCTGGTTACCGTTTAGCCACATTTGCTGGTTTGGATGGATTTAATGGCTTTAACATGTAAGATGTGAATAACTGAGGTGGCTCAGGGAATCTGGTTTATGCCTTTCTTTTTCCTCCTCTCAACCTTTTGACATCTGAACCATCCTCTGCTCCATCCGTCAACAGGGGGGTGGGATGCAGAGCTAATGTCCCGTGCAGCAGGTGTGCGTGCAAAGCCATATTAATGGAGTGTGTGCGGCTAAATTTCTCTGCTAGTCTCTGTAACGTGGCCTGGGACAAATCTCTGGCTGTGGACTGACACAAACTGCATTAAAAAAACACCAGTCAGAGCTCAAAGCTCAGCCAGAACTCATCACAGGCAGCAAAACTAATTTATAAGACTAAGTTTTTGACGGCTGTGGTAAATCGTCCTGTCTGAATATGAAGTCCGTGATATGGGAGCGAACAAAATGACACATGTTGGTTCTTACAAACAGCAAACTGGGTTTTTACAGATGTTTATTGTTTAAAAAGATCCCCATTATCTGTCTTCCTGGGGCCTACAAGACAAAACAAAAATCACTTAATTAAACATTGTAGACAATCTTATAGATGTCATCAGAAATCTTCCGAAAAAGTTATTACATCCATATCTATTAATTACAGTTAATTCACTATTCACAAATTCAAATACTGCATTTTCAAGTCATAATTAAAATATACTTTATCATTCAGTTCACGTATATTTTGTTCCAGTTTATTTATTCCAGTACTGATAGTACGATAAATAATTGTTCTCTTTAAGGCATTTGATTTTGGACATGGCAACATCAAGATGTCTCAAGACTCTCAGGCCTGAGATGGAAATTACAAAAACAACAACAAATGCTTCATATATGTACAGACTGACTTCACATGTCATTATAATATAGTCATGAAGGCATTATTTTTTAACATTGAACATAAATTTTCTGGTTTAAACCAGGCTTAACCATGTCTAAAGCTATCTATATACTTACCTCTCAGCCTAATGAAGGAAGAGAAATTAAAATAAACAAGACTTTTAGTTGCATATATGTCAAACACTGTGTGTTTAAGTGGCTTTAAATGGCTCGTGTGTTATTTCCTGTCCTGCAGCTCTGCGAGTTTCTGGAGGATCTGCTGAATGTGAACGGGGAGCTGCGGAGTGAAGGCCAGGCCATGTGGACTCTGATGGGCGGCATCCTGGGCCAGGTATCAGTTACTCCAGTTACCCCACAGTCCCAGAGAAACCTGTTTAAGAGCCTGTTCCAGGCAATCTGAGCACACTCAAACTGGCAAAAACATAGCCAGTAGGAGATAGATAGATAGATAGATAGATAGATAGATAGATAGATAGATAGATAGATAGATAGATAGATAGATAGATAGATAGATAGATAGATAGATAGATGACATTTTTTTAAATCGAGAATCTTATCAAAAACAGCATCAAATTTGCTGTAGTTCCCTCAAAAAGTTCAGACTTCAGCTACCAAAAAAAGTTGAATAAGCATTTCTAGGGATAGATAGATAGATAGATAGATAGATAGATAGATAGATAGATAGATAGATAGATAGATAGATAGATAGATAGATAGATAGATAGATAGATAGATAGATGGATAGATAGATGGATGGATGGCTTTATTAATCCCCAAAAGGAAATTTTTGAGGGAACTACAGCAAATTTGAGGCTGTTTTTGATAAGATTCTTGGTTTACAAAAAATGTCATCTATCTATCTGTCTGTCTGTCTGATAGAAATTCTTCAAAATGCTTATTCAACTTTTTTTGGTAGCTGAAGTCTGAACGACAGCAAATTCAAGGCTGTTTTTAATAAGATTCTCTGTTTTAAACTAAATAATTTCTCCTTTTATGCCGGTGCAACCATTTAACTTTCGGTACTCGTCGGTTAATCCTCTCATTTCTGACCCGCTGACATTGTTCATATGATCCTGGCCACCAGAGAGCGTGGTCTTTTATGTCCCTTTCAAAATTTTATGTGTGAAAAACCTGAAGCCCAGAATTCAAAGTGCGGTCATAGAAAAAGCATGAGCCGTGTTGATAAATGATCTAATGATGTTAAAATGGTCGCCAGTCAGCAGAATGGGCAGGAATTCGGGAGACTGGCACCGGTTCCACAATGACCGGCATAAATCACCTAATTATGAGCACGAACAGTATAAGTAGGAACATCCGTCACCACGATGCTTGCTTCCGTGTCATCTATCTGCCACGTTTTTATCTCCTATTTGTCATCCTGCCAGTGCATTTGCAGAAATAATTGATGTGCTCGGCTGGGACTGTTATCAGTCAACCGGGATGCTCCTGGTTCTGCTGGAAGTTTCACAGTCTTGGAAACTCCCGAGACTTTTTAGAAAGTGAACTGAAGTACAGACTTCCAGGCGTAAGCGGTTGGGAAAAATACAATAGAAACCTTTATTCGGCAAGTCCCGATATTTGCAAAAAACTGCGTATCGGTCGGCAGGAGAAAAGGCAGATCCAGACGAGCGTTAGCATTAGCATTAGCATCTGCTAACACACAGGTCTGTGTCCTAACCATTAAGTTGTTATCAGAGTAAATTCCTGTTCAACATGAGTCTGACAACTAAGTAAGTAGAATAAATAACTTTAAACCTTAACACATGCTCTGATAGGCCGGGATCGGTATCGGATAGGAAGGGAAAAAAGCTGATCGGGACATCCCTAACCTCCATCACGCAGGCAAAAGATGCTGAATTCCTCAGGTTGACCACCTTTGACCTTTAAACAGACTTCAGATCAGCTCATGTGTTCATCTAAGGCATCAGACTGGTGACAGCTGAGATACTTCGACCCCCTGAGAGCCGAGAAGGAAAACGAATGAACTTATGGGTCATTTAGACAACTAGTGATGCTTGTCCTTAAATGGCCATTACATGAGTCATCATTTATTGTCCTCCAGCACAACAAGACCGCATTTAAACGGGGTTTAACATGACATTGCATCTCTCTCTATCTATACATCTTTCCAAATTAGTGTGAGTTAATCAAGAGGATGTTATGTTATTGATAATATGTCTAACTTGTGCTGACATATTGTTTAATAACATAACTTAACCTGCCTTATCAAACAGTCAAAATTGGTGCACAACTGAAAGTAATTCAGTAAAATCATCACTAAAATTGTTCCATGATGGTTTGAACATGATGATACAAAGAACTGAGGATTGTTTTAGCTCCATAAAACCTCGAAAGCTCGTTTGTGGGTGAGTCTTTTATTACTGTTTATGGTTTTGTCGTGTTTGAGACACAAAATGAAGTGAGCTGAACTAGTGATCTATCTATCTATCTATCTATCTATCTATCTATCTATCTATCTATCTATCTATCTATCTATCTATCTATCTATCTATCTATCTATCTATCTATCTATCTATCTATCTATCTATCTTTTTTATGAAGTCGTGCTTTGGTTCATTTTCCAAATTAACCTAGTTTCTGTTGTCATTCTGTGACTTTGTCAGTTTAGGAAATGTGAGAAAATTCTAATAAATAAGCCTAGATTGATCCTCATACAAGGTACAGCAAATCTATTGCTCTACATCTCATATATCCTCATCCTAATATTCATAACTGAGTTGTGTCCTGGGTTCTTAAAGAGTTGTCTAAGGGAGTTTCTTAAAAAAAAGCCTGAGCCTCCACCCTCCTCTAAACCTAATCGGTCTCAAACATCAGAATCAGAATCAGAATCAGAATTAGGTTTATTGCCAAGTAGGTTTTTCACCTACAAGGAATTTGATTTGGTGTTTGGTGCACAACACTTCTATGACAAACAAGAAACGACATACAATGTAGAAATAAAAATATAAAAATATAGAATAAAATAAAATAAATAATAATAATAAATAATCAAATAAAATATTGAATGTATTGTAATATTATTGGCGTCCCTGCAGCAGCGTGTTAAACAGACGTGATCCGGCCCCTCCGTCCCTACAGGATACATTTTTTAATTAACCCCAGTGGCAGTACTGCTCCCCAGATGGAGGCGAGGAGAAGCTCTTTGCTGCTGTTTTCACCAGCTTATTTTGACCCTTTCACCCTCGTTTTTGGATGATACGTACCATAAATATCCAGATTTGCTCATTCTTAACCAACACAAAACAGATTGACACTTGAATTGTTATTGCAGCTTCCTTTAAAGCGATAAAATGTAGAGCAGCATTGCTGAGTTTAGCTCTAAAATCCTCCTCCACAGAAATATTACAGGATAAAAAA